ATTAATGAGTCACATTAACTTCCCCCACCATCAGAACATGCTTAACTCCTTTGGCCTCACACTGTAGTTCTCCAACTGGGTACTGAACTTCGTTGTGACAGCCCCATTAGTTCTGCTGGCAACATTAATGAGATTATGATTATTTGAGAACCATTACTAGGAAGTATGAATTCTTATGCAGCCCTCTGGTTAAAAGGGATGTTACAACTTTAATAGAAGGAGACATCAAAAAGCATTTACCCACACAAAGGAATTCTACGATTGTGTTTAAATTTAATATAACATATGATAAAGAGACGAGCTGGAGTAAAAGCCTGTCACTGCTTCTCACATAACATTATTTATGGCTCCGTATAGGACCAGCTCCATGGCATTAGCAGACGGAAATCTTAACACCTTCTGACACAACTGGGTTGAGCCATCTATTACCAAGCACAAATCGTTTAAAAACAAATACTGGTCCAAACAGTTATGCCGTTCAACATATTAACTTCCTAGACACCAACAAGGGGAACCAGAGTTATAAAATGACCTATTTTAGGGAACACCAGTGAAAAGAATTATCTGGATCCTGGGCTTCAAATCAAAAGTCTTTAATATTAGGATCACACTCTCCACTCAATAAATGTCAAAGAAATAAACCTGATAGAACAATATATTTTCCATGCTCTAAAGTTATGAATTTTAAAAAGGACTGAGAACATGAAACTACAAAGTGTTTAACCTCTAGGGAATAAATTCAAATACCAACCAGGTCAGTAATAATCTAATGTCAACTGTTGCCATAAAAAAATGGACAATGATAAATAATGAAGTATCAAGCTGCCAGGGAGGTATTTAGTGTGAATTGTGAGGATCTGTGTTATTCTTAAGTTATTCTGTATTATTCTCTGTGTATCTTGATTAGAATTTTAAAGAAAAGGTAATGTCTCTCACAACCCTGTATCACTATCGTTTGTAACCCAGAGCATGAAAACCGTCAGCCTACCTCTTCGATTCTTCCAGACACTGATCTTGCTCAGCTCCAGTGATTGCTGGCTTGTTTCTAACATTACTTTCCTGCGAAGGAAAACAGGACATACAGCAATCAATGAAAGGTGAGTCTTTGGGTTGGCAAGGTTTAGTACACAATGCAGATTTTGCTGATCTAAATGGCGCACACTTTCTTAATTTCATTTTTCTCCCTCCATCGTGTTGACAGCGTAAATCTCATTGGCATTCAGCTGACTCCCATTCCTGCAGTGGGGATAACTGCCCCTTCCAGTTGCAGCTGTACACCTCTCTGATCACTACTATCACTTGTACAGATGGAAAATGTAAGACTAATGCTTATCACGTGTAAATTATTTTAATTTCTTGTGTAAATTACTTTAATTTCTTGTATCAAGCTAGATGAAAAGGGCCAGCACCAAGCAGTCCCCTCTCTGCGGAAAGCAATGAATGACTGAATTTTAAAACCTTTGAATAATAAGCAGGCAGACCTGTTTATTCCACTTTGCTTTACACTCCACTGCATCAATACGAGGCTACGAGGATGAGGAGGGAACTGGAGCATCTCTCCTACGAGGAGAGGCTGAGGGAACTGGACTTGTTCAGCCTGGAGAAGAGAAGGCTGAGAGGGGACCTTAGAAATGCCTCTAAATATCTGCAGGGTGGGGGTCAGGAGGACAGGGCCAGACTCTTTCCAGTGCTGCCCAGTGACAGGACAAGGGGCAACGGGCACAAACAGAAGCAGAGGAAGTTCCAGCTGAACACGAGGAAGAACTTCTTCCCTCTGAGGGTGACAGAGCCCTGGCCCAGGCTGCCCAGGGAGGCTGTGGAGTCTCCTTCTCTGGAGATATTCCAGACCCGCCTGGACACGGTGCTGTGCAGCCTGCTCTGGGTGACCCTGCTTGGGCAGGGGGTTGGGCTGGGTGACCCACAGAGGTCCCTTCCAACCCCGACCATGCTGTGATTCTGTAATACATTTACTCACTCTTCTGGCACACTGTGGATCTATCTCCTTATGCTGGCCAAACTTTCTTTATATTATAGGTATAGCTGCAGCACACAGAGTCCTCTCCAGAGAAACAAGCTCCCTTGAGGCGCTAACATCGCGTGCTGCACTGAGCCAAACACAAAGGACAGGATCTCCGTCTCGAAGACCTCCGCCAAGCCAAGACCTCGGCAGGTCAGCCCGAACACAGCACGAGACGCTTCGGAGGATGAAACACCTCCGTGACTTACCCGCGACAGACCACACGCTGTGACAGACAACGCGCTGCGCAGCCCGGAGCTGACGAGCACGCTTTTCTTGATAAAAACAATGACTTCCCTGAAAGAAAAACAAAGCGGTATTAGCTAACCTGAAAGAGCAATATTGCACCAAAACCCCAGCACAGAGGACAACCGCTTTTATCACGATGTACCTACTGCAATTAGACCTCCAGCTACAGGGAGATTCCACCCCCTGAGCCTTGTCTGCGCAGCCCGGAGCTGACGAGCACGCTTTTCTTGATAAAAACAATGACTTCCCTGAAAGAAAAACAAAGCGGTATTAGCTAACCTGAAAGAGCAATATTGCACCAAAACCCCAGCACAGAGGACAACCGCTTTTATCACGATGTACCTACTGCAATTAGACCTCCAGCTACAGGGAGATTCCACCCCCTGAGCCTTGTTTCCACAAGGAGCAGAACCAGGCGGGCACCAGC